GATAAAAATACGAAGTAGCGTAAATTAAGATATTGTAAAATAAAACAATGAGCTACGGCCTGAAGCTAGACGAGAGGTGATAAGTTGAACAAGCATACGCAGGTAGCGAATATGCCGTTCGCTATATATATATATATATATATATATATATATATGTATATATATATGACTACATATACCATATACCAAGAGTGCCATATTAGAGTGCATCTCTATTATGCACTCTTGACATATATCGTATTGCAGGCCGCTACATGTCCATTTCTGCCTATATTGTTCTAGATGCAAAAACGTCAATCGATGGATGGTAAGTTCCTAATCCGCACGTGAATCGCCTGCGCTAGTCTAAAGCTGCATAGAGACTCCACTTACAAGAATACGACAGGCACTAATGTTGCGTGAGCAGAGAGAGGCCAATCGTCACTCTGTCAATTCCTCTTTGCTGGCGGTATCAATGGAACTGTGCTGAGCGAGAGTTCTAAGGAAATACAGCAGTTTGACAGCTATTTGTCACTTGCTTCCCGCCCCCTCCTCGAGCTTCTTCCTATTCCCCCCCCCCTTCTCTGCTCTCTCTCTTCCTCGCTCTCACATCGCTTACGTCCCACTTTCGCTTGCTCTCGCTCTCTCTCTTCTCTTCTCTCTCTCTTCTACTCTCTCTCTCCTCTCTCTTCGTCGTCTCTACATCGCCTGGTACCTCCACTCTCGCTGTAACTCCACTCATCGCTCGCTACTGCGCTCTGCTCTCTGCTCTCTCTCTCTCTCTCCTCTCTCCTCTCTCTCTCCCTCTCTCTCTCTCGCTCTCTCGTCTCTCTCGCTCTTTCTTCTCGCCTCGCTCTCGCTCTCTCTCTCGTCCTTCGGGGGGGGCCCTCGCTCGCCTCTCTGTCTCTCTCTCTCTCTCTCTTCTCTTTCTCCTCTCTCTCTCTCTCTCTCTCGGTCTCTTCCCTCTCTTCCTGCTCTCGCTCGCCCCTCTCTCGCTCCTCCCCCCCTCTCTCCTCTCGGCTCGCCTCTCGCTTCGCTCTCCTCTTGTTTCTCTCGCTCTCTCTCTTCGCTCTCGATCGCTACTCCCACTCTCGCTCGCTGGGCTCTCTCTCGCTCCTCTCTCGCTTCTCTCCCCTCTCGCTCTCTCTCTCGTCGCTCGCTCCTGCGCTCTCTCTGCTCTCTCTTTTTTCTCTCGCCTCTCTCTCGTCGACTTTTCTCGAGTCGCTTACTCCCACTTCTTCGCTCGCCTGGCCTCTCTACTCTCTCTCTCTCTCGTCGCTCTCTCCCTTTCGCTCCTCCGATCGTCCCTCTCTCGCATACGCTCTCGTTGAATTCTTTTTCTGCTCGCTGCTGTATCCGTGCGCGTGTGCGTGCGCCTGCTCGCGGCGTGGGTGTGTGTGGTGGGTGCGCGTGGCGGCTTTGGTCGTGGTTGTGGTGAGTCCATGGCGCGATGGGGCCTGGTGCTGTGTGTGTAGTGTGCCGCCGCGCGCTGCTTTTGCTGTGTGATGCATTGGTGTTGGGTGCTGTGTGTGTGGGATGTGTTACCGGCGTTCGCGTGTGCGTGTGGTGTGTGTGTGTGTTGGTGTAGTAGTGTGGGTGTGTGGGTGGTCGTGTGTGTTGTTGTGCGGGTGTATATACGTGTGTATGCGCCGCGTCGTCCGTGGCGCGCCTGTGCTGTGTCTGTGTGTGTCGGGCGCGTGCGTGTGTGTGTGTGGTGTGTTGTGTGTACTACGTGGTTGTGCTGCACGCTGCCATGCGCGCCTTGTTGGCGTGTACGTCGTGCGTGATCTGCGACCGTGCCCACGAGCACCGCACAATGACAACAACCTATGGTTGGTTGTTCGTATACCTTCGTCCTCGATAAAATCGTAGACAGCATGAAAGCCCTGATATTCAATGACGTCATCGGAGTGGAACACCACCCACATGTAGCGACCGGTGGAAGTCACTCGTGATGGGTGCCTATTCCCGCAGAATCGTCCCAGCAATGGTTTGTATCCCGAGCGACCGTCCCGCACCTGTTGGCACATAAAGAGAATATCATACATCCACTTATATACCATATATACATATATCAGGGGTTAATAATGACAAATTTGTAATTATTAACCCTGATATATATATATATATATATATATACATATATATACATATACATGAGTAAGGTCAAGAGCTAATAATACCTGTATGTATAATAATGTATGAATATGTACGTTCTTAAATATATATCCGTCTTCGCCATAACAACTGATTACATCAGGTGTGTATAATATAGTCTATATTCTATATCTATTCTATATTCTATAGTCTATATATTACTCGACATATATAGTCGCTAAAACACGGGTTCTAACTACTTTCATTCCTTAACTATATACGTTCTTAAATATATATCCGTCTTCGCCATAACAACTGATTAAATCAGGAGTGTATAATATAGTCTATATTATACACTCCTGATTGCATGCGTTACTCCTATAGCACGGACACAGTCTCGCGTTTAACTGCATTAATTCTGCTCCAGAACGCTTCGACAGAAATATACTTGCATAGCGGACGAAATACATGACCAACAGACGGTTGTATAGTGCGATATTCATATGAGTCGTCGACGCAAGTTTCAGAAAACACACGATAGACGCGGACAACCGTTAACCAGTACTACTTTATGCACGTGTTCACCCCATATTTCGAGGCAGAGAACATAAAACTCGCGTATTCCCGCTTTTGAAAGTCAAAATCAAAATTCACTTCGGCTTCGGAATAAGCCACGACGGGACATGATGCCTTTGACGACCAACGTAGTGCTTATCGTTCCACGAGTTCTTACCGATAAGCTTACGAAATCCGCACAGAGAACTGTTTCGCGTATCTCCATAACGGGACCGATACGAATGTTTCTATAAATGCGCGTGCCGCCATTAAATCGGTTTGAATCGGCTGGCGCGCTATCTGCATGTGTCACCCACAGCGAATGATGCAAACTGTATACGCTGTATATCTCTCGGTGGTTTAATTTTCGCGAATTTCGCGAACGCGTACGTCTCCGACCGCGAAAATAACAAAACGCGAATAATTTATATACCGAATAATACCGAATAGTTCATAATTCACCGACCGCGAAATTAACCACTCGCGAAATTGTCCGTCCCGTCTGTATTCGCGAAAATATCTGTACGCGAAAAATATGGCGTATACACAGTACCTCTACGTAATCGTATTCACACAGGCCTCTCTCCGATCCAGCCTGAGCGGCCTCGACATCAAATATAGTTCCTCTGAAGCTCAGCTGGACCACCTTGCCTAGCGGAGCTGCAATAGGTAATGAGGGACGTTACATGTGTGTGTGTGGGGGGGAGATGTGTGTGTGGGGATGTGTGTAGGGAGATGTGTGTGTGGGGGGGATGTATGTGGGGAGATGTGTGTGGGGGGGATGTGTGTGTGGGAAGAAGATGTGTGGGTGAGGAGATACGACTCGCCGCTGCTGCTGCTGGCTGCTCCCGCTGCGCTGCGCCGCTTGCTGCCGCTGCGGCCGCTACTGCTACTGCCGCGCACGCTGCTGCTGGCTGCTGGCCTCCAATGATGAACGTGTCGGTTAATGGTATCACGTATTCGAGGCAGGACGCGCGCGATCTCGACTAAAGGGGAAATGGTAAAACGAGGAAATAATGAGCCAGATGTCGCGTTGCTGCTGAAACACCTGCCAGATTTCCCTCTAAGATGACCGTTTTAGGTCGTAAAGGTATGGTCTCTCACCGGGCAGCGAGACGACGACAGATCACAAAATGGCAGCTACAGACACGACTCTGCTGCGGCTGCTGCTGCGAGCTGCTGCCCTGCAGTGCTCAGTGCTGCGCGCTGACTAATGAGCTCTCATTTGAATAGAACGGTGAACTGAATTAAGTGAGACACGTATTCACAGCGCGCTCAGAGAGGCGTCTGAGCTTCAGAGAAGGATTCCTCTGACTGAGAAAGGGATATCGGAGTAATTAAAGGAGGACATATACAAGCAGATGCCACCGCACGTTGGCAGAGACTGCAAAAGCGAGACCTCCAGATTTTCCCTCCGCGCGCGCAGAGCTTGCTCGAGCACACACGGACACATAGTAAAAATCTTAGAGAGAAGCCTCTCCCGGCGAGCACTGCACTCGAGGCAATGTAGCACATCCACACATCGCGACCGCTAAACCCGCCACGAATCGTTGACCCCCGCAGGGAAATTGCGGTAAAAATGGCCGCTGCTGAGTATGGCGAGACGGTCTATCGCGAGAATCAGTAACAGCGTCCAAGAGCAAATGACGTTGACGCGCGCCCCGGCAATTTGCAGACAACTTGCGGCGTTGAGTAGGCAGTGCTCGGACGATTTCAAGTTGTCGGGTGCTAGAGCGAGCGAGCCATCCATTTCAGCGCTCGCGGTGACAAGGCGGGCGTAGCGAAGCGGACCGGCGCAATGTAGGACGAGCCGACAAGCCGTGCCCTCGCCCTCTCCCCGTTCCCCGTCTTCCCGCCGAGCCTTCAACGGACGGGAGCCGAGGAAGGCAAGCAAGGAGGGACGGAGGAGGCAGGGGGGCTGGCATCGGGTCTCCATGGCTCTCATTGTCCAGCCAGCAGCGACCCGGCCGGCATGCACGGTAGCCTGACGGAAGCCGGACACTGATTGCGGGCGGACGGTCACCGGCTTAACAGGATGGGGAAGCAACAAGGGCCTCTCCTGTACTCCCGCTCACTCGCGGTCTGCCACTAACAGTAGGTTTCAACGACTCTGTCCTGGACTGGCATGTGTGGGCAACTCGTATGCTGAATACAGAGCAACGAAGCTTTGTTGCAAGCGAGCAGAGACGCAGACTTAACAGATCATCTTTTAGTTCCAGTAACGAATCTAAAAAACTTGATCTGAACCATAGGGCAAGCTCAATGCAATTGGCGAATACCGTCTCGTATGGAGTTAGGGAGTGCGTTAGGGCGCCTGCTCTTTTCACTTTTAAACGCCGCAGTATTTTTATGACAGGTTACAGCTGTACCAAGTTTCCCTATGTGTTCTGCACCCAGATAATCCCACATACAGTGGTACAGACTGGCATCTGTGACCGCAACAATTTATCTTGACCTCTGGCCAAAGCTGTATGCACTTTCCCCCTCCCTGGGAACACTACCTCGGGGACCGACTAAAAAAGAGGAACGTATGAATTAACGGCTCTATCTTCACTAATGGGTCTCTCTTCCTTTACTTCAAAATCTTCTTCTCTTGTGTTTGATGCTTTTTCCTTCTTTTTGTCGCTTCTTACTTTGGTGTGTGCAGACAGCTTGAGCAACTGCTCATGTACTTGCCTCATACTGTAAATACATAGCAAGATGTTTACGCAGACGGGGGTTTTTAATTACAATTTATGATACCAAAATACAATGGATAAAATTAATAATACAAAATTACAAAAATACTATCTTTTTTCTTGCTAGCTTCTATAGGTAGCAGCAAGGAATGCCAAACATTATAAGCCTAATAACCGGACGCGAAGCATAGTGTAATGGCAGGTTTACACGTACTATATCGCGCTAAATGCAGTATCAGTGTTCACAATAGAATATACAAGGCAATATTACAGAGCAGCAACCTTCGCGGTATACATTGAGGAAGCAGGGTTTTGGCAGGAACGGTAATATTTTAGGGAGCACCAAAAGCAGCTCAGAAAGCCTAGAGCAGCACAAGAGTGGGCAGGCACCAGCACTAAGCATAGGTACGCGTTACTGGGTAAGCATATTAGAGATACTGCATCAGCGTTAGCAAGTCGTTAATGACCTCATCACCTGTGACTGTAGCTTCTGGCAGCCGGTGTTCCTCGTGCATACGTCAGGTCCTCGCTGTCAGTATGAACGACGACGATGAACGATATACAACCTCGGCTTCTCTCTCTCTACCTCCATCGATCCGACGGCTTGCGTCCTACCGGAATCTTAGCAATAAAACATCTCAAAACCCTGCCGGGAGGAAAAATAATGTCAATATCGAATTACTGCACCAAGCGACAAAAAATACACAACCCCTATATTACAGCAGGCCTATGTTTACCCCCTTGTTAGCACCGGTGGAAAACACAATATCCATCCATTATACTCTGCCGGGGAAATGATGGGCGATGTGGAGAAATTGTCTCCCGAATAACAAGCGACGACAGCACATTATATGAGGCCACAACATTGCTGAACATGACCTGCTAGCTTTCTCGCCCATGGCGAACAACATCGTGATCGGGAGGGTTTAATACTTGTAGCAGTTAGCTGAATATTGCAGTCGAGACGTTGGCCTGCAACTATTCGTCAGCTGTCTTGTCTCTTTGTTGTCAAGGGTTTTGTGGGCAAACGAATGTGTCACAAGTTTATGACCGTGTGGTAAACGTCCTCGGCCTATCTGCTAACATAATGCAGTTTCCACACTAAAGCTAGACCACATGCGAGAACCAATGAATTTAGCTAGCTTTCACGGGTGCGACAGCTCAATTAACGTATTTAGTATTCAACAAATAGTATTAACGCCAGCAGCGCACGTGTATAATTCCTCTTAAATATTTATATTCCGTGTCACTTCATCTTTCTTCTCTCATTGTATTCTGTGCTCGCACCCCTAGCTACTACTGATAACTGGCTCCTCTATTCCAGATGCGGGGTTGGCGAACATCAGAGGAACTGACGCGCTAGACGAGACGGAACTAAACCGCATCTAAGCTATGGCAGTGAACTGGGACCACTTGCGGCAAGCAATAGAGTAGGAAAGATATTCTTCCTGTTGTATGCACATAAAGAAGTCAGGTGAACAGAATAGCCCTGACCGCTCATACTCCACTGCAAAACGTTAAATAAGACCCTAACGTTAATTTCACATTAATAATTCAAACTCTTTCAAATATCTCATTGCTCGTGAAAATCTTTCACATGCTGTGCAGATCCAAGCATTGGCATTTCGTTCACCACCAACTATTACTCACCGCTTGACTGTACCCAGGTCCATCCGGTGTTTTGATTATGTCGTGGTAAGCATGGAGACATACTGCTCAGCATCGCACGCGCTTATAAAACGGCCGACGCGTAACTCTGCAAGCAAAGTTCAC